AAAAAAAAAAAAAAAAAAACCTAATTTACTTCATTCAATTTTTATTTTTTTATATAAAAGATTTGAACAATAAAAATATATGACAAGTTATTTACCCTAGTACTAGATCACTTAAGAACAATTGTTTGTTTATTTGTTCATGAATTTTTATCACATAATTTTGTAGTGCAAGAAAAAATGTTGCATGTGATGGACAGGCTTGACAACTGTTGGCCCATGTCAATCCTAGGTGGATCATTTGCTTGTCTTGTGAAAACTCTGATATTTTCAATTAAAATATCTAGCAGCCATACTTCTGGAACATTCCAAGAAATTTGCTCAGACAAACCTATATAAGCAAACTCAGAATTTTTGTGGGCTATATTCTCTATTTATTTTCACACACAATAATGATATATAATTTGATTATAACACCACTTCAATTTGTTTAAAGTTCGTTTTCAAATTTTCAAATGATGATTATCGATCCTCTTTCAGGGAATAATTATTGTTCTTGATCTTATCTCGAGTTTGGGTTGGGAATATGTATTGATCTTAGGGGTGGGCAAATCTCTCGAATCGAATCCGAAGCAAACTGAATTGAACCGAACTGAACCCGACAGTTCTTGTCAAATTAAATACCCGAATGGGTATCTGAATTGAGAATCGACAGGTACGGTTCAGTTCTCGATTCTAGACCAAGAACCGAATAAGAACCGAATCTTTCTAATTTTTTTTTTATATTGAGTAAATCAAATTATTTTAATTTTAATTTTTTCTAAACAAATTAACGATTTTTAAATCCAAATTTTTGGCCCAATAATTTGTTTCATTTCTAATTTTTTAATTTTTGGCCCAATTACCCATTTTATTATTTCATTTCTTAGCCAAACAAGATCAAATCCACTAAATAACCCTAAACACCAACACTAAAGTGCATAACGTTGTCTCGACTCTCGCAGCGTTGCTAATATTCCAAAACCTATACAATCATCGGTCGACACTGTGACCTTCACCAACCGAAACTTTGATCGTAGTGATCATTTGAACAAGGTAGTTTACTAATCTTTGGCATTCCAAAATTATTGAATGTATCATTAGTTGTATTTATATAATGTTGTTATAAATGTTAAAAAATTTAATTATAGTACATAATCGAACCGAACCGAACCTAACCCGAACGATTCCATAATTATATTTGGACCCGACGATTTCATTTACTAGATACCCGAAAAGTTCGGTTCGGTTCGATTCGGTTCTCTTTAGAATCGAACCGAACCGAACCGCGTCTACCCCTAATTGATCTACAAAAATTATCTTTTAAAGTATATAATATTCATTCTTGAAAATTGCATTCCATGATACAATAAAACTTTAGCTATGTTTACGTGATTGTCTTGAATGAGCGATATTATGTTCAAGAACGTCGCCGGAGTTTGGACTTAACTGCTAGAACATGAAAGTTTCAATTTCTATAGCAATTGTTACCTTGTAAATTTAATGTCTACAGGAAGAAAATAGAAAAGTTTTGCTGTTGCGTTTTCTACTTCTAATAAGAAAATGTATTTATGAATTTTTTTTGTATCTCTTTGAATCGGCAATGTTCTTTTAAATAAACACAGCTTTTTTCCTATATGTACTGTGAAAAGTGTTCTAAAACGTTTGTCTAGACATGCCTTATGACTATGCACGTCAAACGTGTGATTTTTGGTTTGGCGAGTTATTATTATTATTTTTTTAAATCTAGTATTTTTTTTATTTTTTATTTTAGTTATTTATGGTTTTGGGAATTATGATTTTGTTGGAAATTTGAAAAATATTTGTAGACTTTCATGGTAGATGTTTTTTATTTATTTATTGATCTATAATAATAAAAATAATCTTTAAAAAATAGGAAAACTCCTTATTACACCTAAACTCGTAAATGTCGAGGCTTTACCCCCTACATAGGATCGCCTTACACCTTTCAAAATCATTCTATGAAGACAGTATTTTTCAATATCTTATTTAAGAAGGCGTATGTTTTATGTACCGTCAATATTTTCTATAAATTTATCAAAGAACTTGATTATATCAAGTACGTTGGAGACGTGTATTATTGTTATAAAAGTTTTTTAGACATAGGGCCGGGCATTGGCCTCATAGGCCGATTGCTATGATTTAATTATGGGAACGATACATACATCATATGTTTATCATGTATCATTTCAATTTTAAAAATCTGGATCTAAACATTCAAAAGTTGGGAGATAAATATTCATACTAAGATCAAACATTCATTTAAGAAATGTTTCCATTCCGAAAAGGACTCCCCAATTTAACAAATTGTGAAGACCAACAAAAGAGAAAAGTTACATAGAACTATTCAGAGCAAATAATCTCGATTTCCACCGCCAAAATCTAGCTTATCAAAGGCAACAGTCACAAAGTGAGGTAATAATATAAGTAGCGATTGAGCTTGGTGATTATCTCAAAGTAGGTTTGAACTGTTTTGAAGTCACAATCGGTGGCTAATAATATTGTGTTGCTGTTGGGTCTTCCTGTATTTGAATTGAGGAAATCGATTGTTCTAATCGTGAATTGTTTTGATCGAAATTGAAAAGATCAATTGTCGTGACTCTGACCTTTGATATACTCGCTTGATCTTACTAGTTGACTGATATAATAGAAACTCAGATCTACATGTCATCGTAATAAAAAGAAAATACACAATTATTTAATTACAAAAAGTGTCAAAGAATAGTGAACTTTTAAATAACATTTACGTGTGACCTATACACGGTGACGTGTAGCTTGTTACCTATGAACAAAAATTAGTGACCTGTGACTATGTTATATACAGGTGAACTGTAACCTATGCACAGTGATTTGTAACATGTACACAATAATATGTGACTTGTGCATTTTGACCTATGACATGTGCACATTGTCTTGTGACATATGCAAAATGTCATGTGACTCATAACTTGTGAATATAGGCACATTGACCTGTAACTGGTGACTTGTGATCTGTTATTATTTCTCTTGATATGTGACTTATGAACATTGATCTGTGACATATACATAGTGACCTGTGACATGTTATAGCTGAATAGAAATCAATAACCTGTGACTATAGTATACACTGATGAACTGTGACCTATGCATAGTGATTTATAAGATGTACACAATAATTTGTGACTAGTTATCTATGATTTATAACGTATACACTTTGACATATGACCATCATACATTGTTCTATAACATATGCACAATGTCATGTAACTTGTGACCTGTGAATATAAGTTCAATGATTTGCGACCATTGCACAAAGACTTGTAGCATGTGATCCGTGACTTATGAACATTGATTTGTGACCTATACAAAGTGATATGTGACATGTCAATGCCTACACCGCCACCACCATTTGAAAACCACCAACAACTACTTGCACCACCACCACACTAAGAACCACCAGTTGCAAACTGCAAACAAGCAAACCACCAACAAGAAAAATAATCACAAAACTCGACTAAGCAGATTAGATCAAAGGAGGAGAAAATCACTCAAAATCCATCTTCCCAATTTTTTCTGCGGTGCCAGCACGTCTGGCCAGAGGTGGTGCACCATCTCAGGCTGCTATGAATGGTAACGACACAACATTACTTATCGATGATGAATGACAACAGACAAAGGATGTCAACGTTTGAAGGGGTCGTCGACAGTTGGGACTTGTGTGGGATGTCGACGTTTGAAGGGATCACCGACGACTAGGACTAGTAGTGTGTGTGTGAGAGACGGATGGATGGATGGATAGGTGGGTATAGGGATTGGAGAAATTCATTAGGGATTAGGATTTGGGTGGGTATGGTTGTTAGTTGGGGAATCGTTATTTATGTATTAAATTAAAAAATATATATATAGTTGTAACCTGATTTTTGAAAATAAAAAAGTAGTTATGATATTATTTTTAGAGAAAATTTAAATGTAGGGATGGGTGTAATTTCTACTTTTTTATTTTTAATATTGTCAATACATAATAGATAAAAGTAAGGTGGTTAAAAACCAAACCAACCAACCCAATCTAACTGCTTTGGGTTGGTTTTTTTAAAGTATATTGAATTGGGTTGGGTTAGATTATGGGTTGATCCATCAAAACCGATAAACCCGCCCAACCCAACCTAACTTGCTACTTAAAAAATTGAAATAATTAAAAACAAATGTAAAAATCAAAAAGTTGAAACCTCACGACCTTAGTTTACAAAATCTTATCATTTCTCTCATACTTTTTCTTTCTCTCCAACCCTACATTTAAGTGTTGCCCTCTGTCATTCTCTTTCATTCAAGACTGTCAATCGTCACCAACTTTATTTGCATCTAGACTTGACGCTAATCATCAATCTTTATTCATTTTGGTACTAATAACTTTAAATTTTAAGTTAATTATTCATTTATGTTTTGTAAATGTACATTCCAAGCTTATTTTTTCCTTTAAGCGAGATAATAATTTGTATGATATATGCATTTTCCTTCCTGCATGATTACAAGTTTTTGTTCGTGGTCGAAGCATTATGGTTGATAGGGTTTTATTGTCGAGCACAATTTTATGATTTTTAATGTCTAAAGCGCTAACCTGACCCGACCGAAACTTGATTGGGTTGGATTGGGTTGAAACACGTGAATGGGTTGGGTTAGATCAAACCAACCATATTGGATTGTGTTTGGGTTGAATAAAAAACCGATCTAATCCAACCCATGTCCATCCCTGGATAAGAGGGAAAGAACAGATGCAACCATCTTCTCCGACAATTATTTGTTACTTTCAAAGGCGGACAGGCAGCTTGATGATTTGAAACTAGAAACGGGTTATACGCCTTTCTTTTACTTTGATTTTTCCTTTTCTCTTGTTGTGCTGTGTCTACTTGATAAGTGTAGTTTATATACTTATTCGAAATCCTAAATAATGATATTTTACTATTTTTTTTGGATAAAATACTACTTAACTTGTGTGTTGTATTATATTTTGTAGGTAAAACTCGAGTTTGATGAAGAATTGGAGAAAAGACTGCAAAAATAGTAAAAATGGGCAAAATCTACAAGTTGAGGATTAAATTGCAAACAACTCATAGATGAGACGGGCAATGAAATAAAGATCGAAGATATCAAGGATTTAATTGGATACAATTGGGAGATACAGAAACAAGACTGTAAGAGAAAAAAGGGCTGAAATGAAGCAAACCTAAAGTTCAGGGAAACTAAAGTGAAAATAATAAAAAGGTGTGTCAAACCTCATGATGAAGATTTGAGAGTGCTAGAGGGTCAATTGGATGAAGAAATAAGTCAAATGAAGTATAGTCAAAGTATTATCATACATTAACTTTGAGTCGGAAAAAGTTATGCTTTGAATTTTCAGCCACATATTGAGACCCAATTTTGACATAGCAAACATTAGAATTAGAAAATAATATCTATAGAAGAATTATATCTCTTTGAGTGAGCTTTCTAATGCACTTTGAATCACTTCAATCAGATATCGAAAGGGTAAATTATGATAAAAATATTGAAGGTTGTTCGACTAATGAAAATTAGGCGAGGCGCGAACCCCTCGCCTGAATGAGAGACGCACGCTCCAACCAAAACTGAGGCACCCCAAACCAGCCAAACGCACGCCTTAGCTATGACTAGGCATGTGTTTCAACACAAACGGAAAAAAGTCGATTTTTACTTATTTTTGTTTTGATAACAATTCAATGCAATCAAAACGGGAAAACCTCTATTCAACCTAAACTTTATCATATTCTACATATTTTGGAGTTGAAGAACAATTCTATGCCTCAATTCAAGCGAATCGTACAAGGATTTTGAAAATCATAGCTCCGTTTCAAGTTTTGAGCCAAGAACTTTGATTTTTCCTACTTCAATCTTTTTTATTTTCGGGTGATCTTTTTCCAATTATTCTTGCATAATTTAATCATAAGAATGTTAGGCTACGTTTTTTATTGTATTAGATGAATGATAAATCCTATTATTTGTTTATTTTAATTTAAGAAAATCAGTTTAGTATTTCTTGATTTTTCTTTATTGATTTTGCATTTCTATTAGACTATTTGATTACTTGCTCATCAATTAAATAGTAAATTGCTTGTTGTAGTGTAGAAATATTAACAATAGGTCTAGAACGTCACAAAATCAATACATGGGCAATAGTTGCTAAGAATAATACCTATGGCATTTTTGATAAATTTTTTGAATCAATACATATTTTTCATTTAATTTCGGACTAAAAATAAGATCGAGTCATGTTAAATATAAGTTTAATATATATTGAAAAGGAATACTGAGTGACAATGGATTATCTATTGACTTAAATGCATGAACTCACTAGACTACGAATTAAGAATTGAATTAAATAACAATAGAGGAATTCACGATTCCAATACAAATATTAACATATTAAATAAATATTTTATTTACTTTGTTAGTTTAGGATTAATATAGAAAATTTACAAATTATTTCTTTTGATAACCTCTATTCCAATCCATATACTTGGATTGATACGTGATATTTATGTTGTGTTTAAAAGTAACTGTTTTTCAAATTATAAAAAAAAAAAGGTTAAGTTTGTTAATCAAGAAATTACCTAATGTTTATTTACAACCATAATCTATTTTTTTCCTTCAAATAATTCTAAATCAATGGCAGATTCAAAAGAATTTTTTAATATTATGTAATTAAACATTAATAAACAATTTTGCTATTGTGACCGTTAACAGTTAAAGGCCGTCCTAGCACACTTGAAATCTTGGATCCATTACTGTTTTCAATAGTGGTGTAAAATAGATTTAAATTGTGATATAGACTCCAAAATTGAAAATTTCTGGGAAGACGAGAATATCCTTTCCTTTAGACGAGACTAGTGTTCACCATTCACTTTACGGAGTATTTGGATGGAAATGGACTAAAATGATATTTTATGCGTAAAAGATGGAATTAATGCTGAAAATTGGAAGGTATGAACGTTTTACATAATAAAAATAGCTCACAGCAAAACCTCGCAAGTTTAACACGTGTTTATTAGATGCAACATTAAAAAAAGACATTTTCAAACATCTTGCATCAACTGCATCTTAGGATGCCAGTAACTGATTTCAAGTGGAGCATGCTTCTTTTATTTTTCCTCTCTTTCTTGTTATTTCTTTGTCTTTCCAGTTATTTAATTTTCAGCGTTTCAATGAATAATAAGGAATTAACTATCTCTTGAGCCAAAAAAAAAAAGAAAAGAAAGAAAAAAAAGAAAAAAGAGATGTCTTATTTTCATCTCGTGTGGATCAACTACGCCATAAAATTGAAAAAGTCGAGATAGGTTGCAGCCAAAAAATAGACGAAGGACCAGATTTGTAATAAGACATAAACCAGGGACTAATGCTGCAATTTTATAACTGTATATAGTTTCCCAGCTCATCCACGTGACCAAACTCCACCATCAGCCCCACCACCTGACTTGTCTCGATCACCAAAACGCCGTGATTGGCACCCATTATCTCAACATTCTTTTGGTTTCATCGCCGCCACTCTCACTCTCCTCCTCCTCCTCTGCCGGGATCCAAAATCCGTCACCGTATTTCGAAGCTATTACTCTTTATATATACACATATATCTTTATCGGGAGTGTGGTGAGTGCAATGGCGACGTCGTTTGGAGCAACAACACCATCATCAGCCCCTGTGGTTGACAATGCCCGCAAATCCACCTCTTATTTACCGCTCTACCATCGTCTTTTCTTCTGCCGCTCCCACTCAAAGGTGCCTAAGCTATGTTTCTCCTCCCAGGTAAACAATCGTTCTCTCTTTTGGATTTTTGTTTATTATTAGGGGAATTGTGTTTTATTTTGAGTTTCAGGCATGATTTGGTGAATTGTTGTGTGAGATCGATCTCGGCTCTATGCTGCTGCGTATAAACTATTCATGAAAGATGTGTTTTGTCAGTGCTATCTTTATTTTTATTTGCTGTTGGTCTGTTCCAGCTGGAAAAAGGAAAATTTTTCTGGAAAATGAATCTAATTAAACTTTAAGTAAATTTAGAGAGAGATGAAGTGAAAGTGTGGATTAGGTTCCTTAATGTACCTCTCACATCTTTGTGGAAAGATGATTGGATAATTCTTTTACGAAAAAGTCACTCGAATATTGAAAATCTTCAAAGGTCAAAGTAGCATTTTTCTTTCTCCTTTTCACTGTTACATAAGGAATAAAACAACAGTTTACTAGTTCTCGATCGTTTGTTATAAAGCTGTAGAGTAAAATACTTTGTGCTAAGATTGCTGCCCTTAATAAACCCGTGTGTATTATAACATTTTTCAACAGTACATTATGTTTCCAAACTGTATCTTTTCTGTGGAGCAAAGTTCTTTGGACATCTACCTTCTCTTGCGTACTTCAATTGAAAATTGTGTGATCTCTTGGCACTTTTAGTTGATTAATATGTCAAATGTGGACTCAAATCTGAATGTTTCATCGTGGAAAACAACAAGAAAGGAAAACAGATACTGTGTACTTAGATGGATTCTTAAGCCAATGCTTGATGAATTTTCAAAGATATCTGGACAATTGTACTTCTTTTAGTAAAGGTAAATGTAAAATTCTTCTATTGACATTACCAGTCACCAGAACATGAAGGTTTAAGAATCATGTGATAACCTCAGACCTCTCTAATGTAGGCGATTTTTATTTGGCGACAAATATTATTTTGAAGAATTACTGTTCATAAGAAGCGGGTGTTCCACTTTTACTACTTTGTAAATAAGTATCTTTTCGTTGTTCAGTTTCTTCCACGATTAGGAGGAGATATATTACCCTCTAATATGGGGCTTGAGAAATCCAAATAAGATTCCATATAGATTGAATTGTTTTTTGTCATTTGCTTATTCGAGATGGGGGTCTAGTTCCAATGAATACAAAGAGGAACAGGTCAATTTTAAATCTACTCATTGCCAGTTTTGAATTCTTAATTTGAACTCTTCGTCAGACTAAGTATAGCTCCAGAATTTAATACGTTTAACTTAAGGGAATGAACTCTTAACTCTTTGTCTTTTAAGTTTCTACCGTGGTTTTGCTTTAGTTGACTTTCCTAATTCTTGATATCTAATCTGGTTTACCATTTTGTTTTCCTGGTTTCGAGCCAAGACTGAGCTATAGATTTGAGGGAAACAAATTGAATTTCTTTTTAAATTTCATCAGTCATCCTAGCATTCTAGTGATGATATGTCTGTGCTTCCTGTTTATTTTTTTTTTGGGCCTGCAGTCTACTCGGAACTCTTCTCTCATAGTGAGAGCTCAATCAAATGAGGTAAGGTTATCCCAATGATTTTCATACAATGAAACATTTTTTTTATATTTCTTTCCTTTTTGGGAAAATTTTGGAGCCATCTGTTACCTTCAAGGGTGTTGTGGGTGGATCCTCAAAAGCTGCAGTAAATACTCCTGTCAAATCCGAGGTATCAGTTGAGCCTTCACATGCCACTGTGGCCTCAGAAGAATTAATATCTGAGTTTATTACTCAACTGGCATGTCTTATCAAGTAGGTATCCTTTTTGCCTTATTACTTTGACCAACTCTTTCCATTTTTTCACGACGAAATGGGGTAATATATTATCTATTGCAGGTTAGTTGATTCTAAGGATATTGTGGAACTTGAGTTAAAACAACTTGACTTTGAACTTTCAATACATAAAAAGGATGCCTTACCTCCACCGCCTTCTGCACATGTTACAACGGTGCAGTCATACTCTCAACCCGCGATATTGCCTCCAGTCCCAACACCTTCTACCGTATTGACTCCAGCACCTTCTCCCGTTTCAACTGCATCACCTTCTCCACCCAAAACGCAAATATCCAAGTCATCTCATCCACTACTCAAATGCCCAATGGCTGGGACATTCTACCGAAGCCCAGCACCTGGTGAACCACCGCTGGTGAAGGTAATTAGCATAAATGTGATGATAATATATTCAGAAGCAGGAATGTCTATGTATTTTTTACTTTTTGACAGAGGGTAAAGACAACTTCTCTGTTTTGTGTACTCAATTATTTTCTGTCAAAGCTTAAGTTTTATGAACAAAGTAATGCATTAGGTGGATCTGATTAGATCATACAGATAAATTTGCACAATGCATTTAATTCTCACCCCACCCTCCCCCCACCCTTCCCCCATTTGTCTTACACAATGCGTTTCCATGCAGGTTGGAGACAAAGTACAGAAGGGGCAGGTTCTTTGCATCATCGAGGCCATGAAATTGATGAATGAAATAGAAGTAAGCAATGTATATTGTTTCCTGCTGGCACTATGGTTTTAATTGTTCTTTTGCTATATCCTGTTAAATTAGGAATGTCTAACAGAGTTAATTAGTCTTTATGTTTTGGTCTTTTTAGCTGTTTATTACCGTAAATGCTTTGGCAGTGAAATGATAGATAGTTTTTCTATTTCCTAGAAAGAAAAGATGTTACAGTGGTTTGGGTGAGAGATGGGTTGGTGAAACTTTTAGTTTTACCCTTAAAGCAATGGCCAAATTGCTCTGTAGTCTTCTCATCTACTAGAAGTAACAACCTTTTTTAAGATCAAAAGAAGAAAAATAAGTAAAAAGTAATTACCCATTTTTAAGAACAAAATAACTATTTTAGGTAGAGGTCATTATTTTGGATTTCTCGAAAATGAAATAAGGTTGTTTAGTGGTGGATGGGATGGGGAGGTGGTACATTTTATTATTTGCTGTTCAAAATTTCATCATCTACATTACAATTGAAAAACTGAGGTCAAGAGTCGACCTGCAATGATATTTTAGAATATGAGTAAGATTTTGCTTTTGAATTGAGATGTCAATTAAGAAAAAAATAAATAGTAGATGGTATTTACAAAGAACATTCTGAGCGGTAAACTAATGATCAAGATAACTGAGAAAGTCAGGAGTCAAGCTGCAATGATAATTTAGAATATGAGTAAGATTTTGTTTTTGAATTGAGATATCAATTAAGAAAAAAAATAAATACTGGATAGTATTCACAAAGAGCATTCTAAGTGGTAAAATAATGATAGAGGTAACTGAGAATACATAAGATGCTCAGTTACCTCGATCATGCTCACAATGAATTAACGTCTCATTTGTTTTTTTTTCTTTTCTTGCCTTATTCTGGGAAGCACGATATATTTCACATCTGCTTCATATGTCGTTATAGCATCATAAAATGATCTCAGGCTGCTATTTGATTTGCCTGTTGTTCCTAATCATCTATGCGTAGGCTGATCAGTCAGGAACAATAGTTGAGATTCTCGTAGAAGATGGCAAGCCTGTCAGTGTTGACACCGTGAGTTATCTGGACTAATCACTATCTATTTATGACATAAAATGCTTGCTCTAATTTCTCCCTCCAGTTTATAGCTACTTTATTTTTTGCTCCCTCCAATTTATGGCTACTTTATTTTTGGCCATCTCCAGCCTCTCTTTGCAATCGAACCGTAGAGCCGATGGAGTTAAAAAGGTATTCGGGAGCAGGAGAGTGTGTTCTTTCAATGATTGTGCTGCATTATGTTATTATGTGCAAGTACTATCTGTTTTGCATGGAAGAGACTAGAGATACATTCTTCGTCAAAGCTGGATTTTACCTGCTGAAACTAATGTTATTTATGAGTTTAGAACAGTCTCTTTAGGTTAACGTTATTTCTAACGTGAGTGTTCAGTCTTTGTAGGATAAAGTTGAAGTAGATTGCGCAACTGAAAGTTGTATTCTGAAATAATTTGTTGTGCATAAAAGGATGTTTCGATCTTTCATTCACGATGCCTTCAGAGCAACTTGTCTCAAAAATACACCTCGTCACCATAAATGTCACTACATCTTCAAGATTTTGCATTTCGACCATTGAAGATCGACGGAAATTGATGCAGATTTTAGTAAAAATGGATGGAAATGTCCCAACTATTTTTCTCGAATAATGGCACATGTACATAATGATCACATAATGATTTACATACAAACGAGCTATCAAAAAAAAGTGAGGAAATTATTTATTTATTTTAATTTGAGTGAAGAAATTTGGCTCAATTATGTCTCAACACATCATGTGTGTATATAAATCATTATATACATATATCACAATCAATCGATTTTGCTTCGGAGTTGGACCAGAAATATAAATCATTATGTACATATAGCACAATCAATTAATTTTGCTTCTGAGTTGGACCGGAAATAAACAAGGAACCATCTTTTCCAAATTCCAATCCTTTTCCATATGCCAACTACAAAAATAGAAAAACATAAAAAATAAAGATGAAAAAAGAAAACACGAAAGGGTAACATTACAATTACAAAAATAGAAAGCATTTTCTAAGCTCAATTTGAAAAATTATTGCATCACATGGTTGATGATTAATCATTCATTCTAATTGCCGGCCGGCAGCCTCAGCAACAAAGGGCAAATATGGAGTCTTCCCAAGAACGCTACTCACAACCCCATAAACAAAACACGCTACGACAAATGCAAAAATCCCCGAATGTGCCCACGCCGTTATCTTCAGCCCAATTCCACTCCGACCTGGAGATATTATCCTCTGTACAAGCATCGGCACTACAAGCAGTACGTCGAGCACCAGCGCCTGGAGGGCGTTGAACCGAGCGTAACGGCTCAGCGAAGGATTTCGGACAATGCCCAGATAAAGGGCGAAGAAGGAGATGAAGCTGGCGTAGGGGATGGAGTGGTAGAAAGAGAGGAGAGGAAGGAGGGGCTGGAAGGGAAGTGAGAGGGAAGGGTATTTGGTGAAGAGGAAGCGGCCGTATTGGAGTCCGTTGAAGAAGGGGAGGAAGTAGGATGCGGCGGAGATTAGGCGGTCAGTGGCTGGGGTTGGGGTGTAGGAGCAGGTTGTTGTGGTGGTGGTGGTGGTGGTGGTAATGGGTTTCTGCGGCAGTGATCTGAGGATTGGGATGGTAGATTTGAGGGGGTGAGGAAGGATGAAGGCGGTTTTATAGTTGCGGGGTGGCAGAGAGAGGCGGATAAGAGGGAGTGTGGCCATATCTCGGCGGCTGTGGGGTGGAGGGATTAGGCTTCGACGCTTTGTAAAGTGGAGGAGCTGGGATTACAGTTTACAGACTGACGATTGACGAAACGATAGAAAGTAAAATGAAAAAGAATTGGGGTTCCAGAACCGAAAGAGGAAATTGACAAAAATAGCATCAGATAACTGAAATAAAGCTTTAATCTAAAATTTTGGTGGTCGAAGTGAAATTTCCTTTGTGTAAATTTAAAAGTTGATAAATTTAAGTCAAAATAAACAATTTATTTTAATTATATATTTTATAAGATTCACAATTTTTATCAATTCATATAATTCAATGCAGTATCAAAATTCATTAGTATTTGTAGGAGTGGTTTCGATCAAATTTTATCCAAAATCACATGAAACAATTTTGATTGGAAAATAGAGCCAACCAGCCAGAAGAGAACCAAGTCAGCTCTTTCCGCTCCAACCATTGAGTTGCGTTAGAAGAGAAAAAAAAAACACTTAAAACGAAGATTCAGACAGCGCCATCGTCCAAGCAACAAACAAACGGCAACTAGGAGGATCACATCTCTTTCTGAGATAGGGAATTAGTCATCGAACATTTGCTTTTCGCTTTTGAATTTGACGTCTTAGCAATTGATTCTTACTTGAATTTGAATTAGGATTAGAGAGAGAGATCGTTTTTTCTTTTCTTCTTCCAGCAGGGAAGGAAAGTGATCGATAATAATGAGCAAGCATCTTGGATCACAGAAAGCTGCTTTGAGGTTCCCCATGTAAGAAAGGAACCAAACCGGAGAAAATTGGCGCCATCCAAGTGGTTAAGCACTCTTTAAAGTTAAGTTTACACAAAATGTGAACTTGTAATGTTATTTAGTACATATAATGTACAAACAAAACTTGTAATGAAAATGTCAAATACTGCATTCTTTATCCATGCTACTGCATATAGACACTTCATCAATCAAACTACTGTATAAAATCTTCATTTCCCTCATTAACACAGAAATCTCTTAGGGAGTGACGATATATCTGCTAGATAAAGGATTGAAATAATATAAGCATTGTTTCCTAGTATTCCTTGGCTTTTTGCCTCAATTCATTCAGCTCTTTTTCAATTTCAGGATCTTGGAACTTCAATCCCACGGTTGTGCTGCCAACAGCTGTTCTCCCTGGTGGAAGCTCTCCCTTCTGCTCGGTCCACAAAGACAGTTATCATTTGTTGGTGTAGTAGTATGATTAAAAAGCAATAATCTCACACCTTAAATTCAAGAAAACTCATTATTCAGCATAATATGAAGAACATTAGGCTGGCAGAGGAAAAATTTTTCTACCAATCAGAGCTAGCCTGTTCGGCTCGGTTTAAGAATAAAAAAGTAAAAATTACTTTGTTTTAAACATGTTTGGATAACTTATTCTTTTCTTTTAATAAAATCAAGTTCTTTATTTTCGGGAGCAATGCTCACCTTACCTTCACAATAAGGTAAGGAACTTATTGTTAATTTTTTAAGCTTAGCCAAACATGCTCAAGGCAACCGCAAGAAAGGACCCTGATGTGCAGCGGCAAAGCAGCAGTAATAATGAATGAAAAAATGGCTCTTTTACAACAATAAACAAAAAAAGAGCATGAATTACCTTTGTGCCTCCAGATAATTCTTTCTTCAGGTTGGCAAGGTCATCATCAACCGAAGAACTTTCTAGCAATGCAAACTGTTAAAAGGAAAACCTCGGTGAAATCCCAGTTTAATCTAATAAAAAATCGACTTTTGGTTTGATAATATATAAAATACTTCATAAGAACCCATCACTTTTATCTTACAATCATAGGCAGCACATATAGCTTTATGTATTGACAAGAAAAATGCTATTGTCACTATCTGCCAAGCACCATTCAATGTTCCTTTAAGAAACGACGACTTTTAAGATTAATTACTTGCAATGACACCAAGTATTGCAAAAAAATAAATAATTTGCGCATATTTGATACATAGTATTAAATGGCACACGACAATCAATAAACAAACTATGAGCTTAATTTTTTTCGTTAATATTGTTTAGTACTATCTAATCAGCCTTAGAATACATCTATTATGGTCATGGAGAGTGCTAGATGTACACACACACTTTTGTACAAAATGGTTTACTTACACTCACAATGCGAGGGTGGAGGCCACATGTTGGCATTTTTTATTTCATGTGGAGGCCCAAGTGTATGTGAGAGTGAGTAAAACATTTTGTACAAATGTGTGAGTACAAATATCTTTATCTTTATGGTCATTAACAAGAGTCTTTCATTGTTTACTTCTACATTAATGAAAACATCAATCCAATTATAATAGAGAAAACACAAAAAGAGAGGTGATAAAAAGGTGACTAAAAGATAGAAACTTAATGTTTACTTGTCTGTCACTTTGAATGAAGTACAACACAAATAAAACCACAAATAAATAGACATCAGGGAAAAATAATAGTACTTGTGATTTTTAAATCACTAATGATCAATTAATATTGTTCTACCTTTCCTTCAAGTTCATCACTGGTTAGCTGGTTAATCGCATCTGCCTGAGACTCCATGGCCAAAACTGTCAGGAAGGAATACAAAAATTCCGTAAGCCATTTTTACATCATTCTATGCACATTGGATTACATTTTTCGTCATTTACTAAGCTATGATGAGTAAGGGTTTGCACTCCATTTGGCAAATTTATAAATGGTATATAGAGAGGAATAGTAAGAAGAATAGTAGTGGATCCCACAAAATGTATAGATAGATAATAATGAGTGGTAGTTATAAATGTGTGGTTAAAATTAATGTTTGACTTTGACTGAATTTATAAACCACTTATTTGTATCCAAATGGAGGCTTGATAAACATATGAAAATTAATTTCGCTACCAAGAAAATTTCAAGAGTTTTAGTAAAACAGATCCAATGTAATTCACTAGTTCAACTGAAGAACTGGTTTACAGAACGTGTGTGTAATATTTACTAGCCAGCAGTAACAAAGGTTGAAGTGTAAAGGAATGTTCAAACCCAAAATATCCATGGGACATTTATGTAAAAGTATCTTTTCATTCAAAAACTATCTTACTTTTGGAAAAAAACACGTATACTTTTTTAGGGCAAACATGCTATAAAATGTAAAAGGACGATATTTCAAGCTTGGCTTGATCTACCAAGTATATACACATTTTATGGAATTTCAGAAGAGCACCACACAGATTTCAGCTGTGTGCATAAATGGGTTCACTTTCTATTCCACGATACAGTGCTCCCAACAACTTTGTAACAATTTAATCCAAATTCATGAACCACAAATATAGAAGTTTTCTTGAATACATCCTTGTCAAAGATTTGCATTTCATCTTGAAATCAAAGAAAACTCTGGGGAAATAGGAATGCAACAAGAATACAGGATCTGGAATATTATGATTCATTAAATAGGTAATGAGGAACTTCTCAAAATAGGATTCTCTAATGGTAAAAGTAAAAACATCCATCTTTTAATTTTTCAGTTTAAAAGATCTCACCCTTGTTTGAGCCCCATTATTTCAAAATTCATTTTTCTCCAAATTTATTTTCAACCACACATTTTCCTAATAAAATAATTTTACACGTAAACCCAAAACTTTCTCCTTGCTTTTTAACCACACATTCTCCAAAAAATAACTATTACAAAAACTATTTTTTCAACAAAATGGGGCTCAAACAAATCTAATCTGTTTCATTTCTACAGCACTCAATAAATTCTGGTTTCTGTCACGACCCTCAAAAGCCTCCATTTTAGGCTCTCTAATGGAGTCTTCTGCTTCTTTTTACTCTTAACAAATTAAAAATGGAAGGTGAAAATAGAGCCCACCTGCCATGGATCAGCTACCGCTTAGGTACCACAATGGGGGGTGCTAGGCTTAGTCTTTTGGGTGGGGGGATATTACTTCGCTCCAAATCCAAACCGTATACATATATGCACTCACAGACAAACTACCATTTGGCGTGTTTGAAGACTTTTAAATGGAGAGGTAGAGGAAGGCAAGGAGAAGGTCCTTTGGAAATATTAAATAGTTTTAGTCATTGAAAAGAGTTAAAAACTTTGGCCATATTTCACTCCTCTGTCCAACACCATCGTTTCTTAGTAATATGACCAAAAGTATCCCATCCACTCATGGTAGGCATAAAAATCATCACCACCAAAACAGAGAAAAGGACTTGAATATATAGCCAAGAGTGCAATCATTCATGTAAGTGCAAAGCAAAAAATGCCGCAAAATACAAAGAAAAAGAAAAGCATGGAAGGGAGCAGCTAACCTTTTTCCTCCATCTTTTCAAAAGCTGACAAAGCACTGCTTGTATCCACATTCCCCAACACCTCACTTACTTTGGTTGCCGTTCTAAAGAGGAATTGGCCAGTTACATCAAATTATAATGAATTGAGGAACAATCAAGCAATTGCAAGGGGATGAAAACATACTTGGCAGACTGAGCACGTGCTTTAAGAGTATCTTTTTTAGACTTAGCTTCCTGAATTTTGCTCTCTAAAAGCTGTCATACAGACAAAGAATTTCAGTGTTATTTGATCATCAACCACAGAAGAATATATGGATGAACTTGCAGCAAATTCGACAAGCAGAAGTTGCTATAATAGCTGCATTCACATATCAGCCAATAAACAATTTAATTAGACAAGAGTATTAATCCACACAATAAAATCTTGTCTTAAATTCTAACTTCTAGAGAACAAAGTAACCATGTAATTGTTGCACGTTAAAAGAAAAATACAGCCACATACCCGTGTATTAGAGACAAGGTTATCAACAACACTCCTCTGCTGGTCAAGTTGAGTCTTCAAAGCATTTGCATTATCCTGTAAATATGCAAAGACAAGGTGGATTGAGTAACATTGCGGCTCGCTAATTCTCTACGAAGAAACCGCATTAAATTACAGAACCAGAAAATTTAAGAGAAACTCTTGAGCATCAGAATGTGAAGGCATATGAGAGATACAACATAGGGATTCTTGTAAACACCATGATCAATGCATATCCTGATTAGACAAAAATAAAACAAAAGGGTCACAAAAACTTAAGTTGAAAATGCAGAAACCGAAAAATTGGAACTTCAATTTTCCAGTAATATGCGTTTTAGAATCTCACACCACGAAAGAAGTTTTGATTATTTTTATAAAATTAATTGCTAATCGCAAGATTTTGTTACAATTTAGTACCAGCTCTCCATTGTAATATCACATTGCAAAAGGAACCTCATAAAATTATATTACAAGGCCCAAAAATGTCCTCTTTCAACAATTAACTCAAGCTTGGATAAAGAAGGATATCCAGTTAACTTGATTCACTAGCTGTTTTAAGAGAATCAAAGTTTTAGAACTGGCATCTCGTCAAGATATAAGAATCTCCCATTAATAATGAGAATCAACACTCTCCATTAAAATGTTTCGACTCTTGCCAAAAGCATAAAACATTAGTAAACATTGTCATCATATGTAACTGCCCATTTAGTGGCGCAAGATTCAAACCAAGCAAAATGAAGCACGTTATGACAAATTATGTTGCACCAGCTACATTACTTTTTCTTTCTTTCTCTCAGCTACATTACTTTTTTTTTGAGCTCCACTATGGATATCATTTTTTCACTAAATTGAAGGCTTGCCATGTTCAGAAGCCAACAAAACTCTATTAGAATAGAACAATCAATACAATGTCATATAAATCAGATGTTGTAACTTGAATTGTTTGAATATATCGCAAAGTAATAAACTCTCACTTCAAGCATCAACCTAAATTATTTTACAATTATAAAAGCCTTTACCATTTTCATTAGTAATCAGATAAATATCCGAGCACAAAAAACATGTATACTTTATACTAAAAACGGTCCTTACAGCATAAGATTTTCTACGTTTAAGAGCTTCACGAGCAAGATCCTCATCACCCTTTCCCAGAGCAAGTTGTGCTCTGCGGTACCTATGATCAAACTGAATTATAAACCCACAGCTTCAGGGAAATGAATTAGATCAGGTGACTAATTCACTGGCATTTACCAATCTTCAGAAGCTTGTTGTGCAGCTTTATATTTGTTCTCCAACTGCTTCTGTGAAGCCAAAACCTACAGAAAAGATGAAAACAGAAACTTACGATTTGCCTTCCACAGGGACACCAATACTTAGCTTTCTGTTTAAACTTCTAAATTTATTGCTTCACTCTCCAGTAAAGAAAAATAAACAGAAAGCACAATGTATACATGAAACAAAAAGATTAAAAGTTTACCCTCAAGGAAAAGGTAAGAGAGAGTTCGAAGGGTGACATACTTGCGCTGTAGCTTGACGCATCTTGATCAAATCATCATTCATTTCAATCACAGTTTGTTCCAAAATTTTCTCCGGATCTTCAAAAGAGCTTATTATAGCATTCGCATACGACTACTCTTAAAACAGATGAAATATAGTCAATAATATTTTTAGTGGTATATGACCAAAGCCAATAACGCGCAACTTAATACAAGAAATCTCAACCAACCTTGATAACTCTAGCAAATCGATCGAAGAGGTTCATCCGAGCACCAAAAGCACCTCCACGATGGCTGATACATCTTGATCTACTTGAATGAGATAGCCGGATTCCTGAAAATTTTGGAGCCCCCACTACAAAAGAAAATATGGATTCTAAAACAAAACTTGAATTTTAATACATAGAAAGCAAAAATTAAGTAACTATAGCAAGTTGTAAGCGCCAATCTAACAAAAAATGTTGTCTAAAATAATTATAGCAATAGCAGAATGATTTTTAAAGTCCAATTAGAAAGGTTGTCTATCAATTACAGTAGACCACCTTTCAGGAACTAGAAGTCACATACATAAACATAAAAGTCTGGTCTCCAACCAAATACGAAAATACGCCACGGCAGAGAAAATGTACTCCATACCTCTTTCCTTCATTAAACCCAACACCATCATACGAACAAATAAAGTAGCTCTAAATTTACTACATCAATGATTGTGTTGTAAATTAAAATTAATCCAGAATGTTCTTATACTTTTCTCAGATAGTCTGGTCTACATTATCATCTTGTTATTGACAAGTCCGATTTACATTCTCATACTTTCTTGCTAGATCATTTAGTCTGGCACCAACTGCATAGTTACGTAGGAAGTCAGAGTTGAGTGTTTCTTTTCAGAATATCTGAATCTGAAATAAATAGCACATCTTAGATATGGGAATTAGAAATTTGATTCAATGGTTACAGTTCATCATTTTTAAAAATTTAGTTCAATGCATTACGGGCTTCAATAGTGATGAAATAAAACGTCTATAAGGCTTCTGATCTATTATTCTCTCTTTTTCATTCTTTATATAATTTAACTAGGTTAGAGATGTATTCTCAAAAAGTGAGGTATAATATTAATCTTTTATAGGAATGTTTAAAACACAAATTAATTATATAAACATGGCCCCTCTCTAACAGCTTCAAATTTTAGATGAAATGGATAACATGGTATCATAGCTCAAAAAATAAATCGTTTGCACTAGCTACACAGAATATGCAAATCTAAAGCTCAATAAAGAAGAACAAGTGGTACATAAAGAACAAGTGATACTTAAAACTAATATCAAAGTCAAAGACATTCTTAACCTTTTATAATAAGATAAATGAACTTGTATATCCATGATGATATCTGGTAAACCCACCATTTGGTTCACCTATTCTAGAAGGGCTAGGAAGCCTGGAGGTCCAACTGGCAGTAGTTAGTGGGACACGTGAAAGTTTGTTACGTGAAAACCAAGTCTGTTGAAGGGGGGGGAATTGGGAGGGAAAATCTGTTATCATCCGCTATGAATAAATGTAGAAAGTAGTCATAGGCAGGCAATTTGAGATAGAAGTAGAAGTTAAGAGAGTTAGCAGATTTCCTTGAGAATAGGCCCCGCTATTTTCGTTCTTGCTGTGTTTAGTTCTTCTCATCAATAAAAATATTGTTCCTTATATCATTCTGCTTGTTTTTCCAGTTGGGATCCTAACAATATCTTGGTTTGGCCAATAAAAAAAAACCAAAGTAGAATTGGAGCTTGCCGTCTAGAATACATTCCCTGTAATCTATTTACTAATAGATTCATCGTATTTATCAGGACCGTCTTTCTCCATTAACAACATTAACCCACTTTGATCCTTCTATCTCTTCTTTGAATTATCTCTCTATCTCAGCACAATCTTGAATTACCATCCGCGAAAAGAACTCAAATATCGCTCTTTTGCGCAACAACCCACATAAACTAGAGGGGAAAAATTTTGAGCGGTGTAATGCAAGATATCAGTGTCTGGTTCAATGTCGGGGAAAGGCCCAAAAAAATAAAAATAAAAATTGGGACTTGATGATTTAATAAAAGCCATTGAATTTTGAAGATTGATCTTCGCTATGAACAGAAAGCCAAAGAAGAACTGTTTCTTCTTCAATATGACAATTAAAGGGAAGACGCTGACTTAATTATACACCACCAAGATTGCCTTAAGCTTCTTCAGATTGGGAGCGTATAAGAATATGCACGTGTGGATATGGCCGTCCCAATTTTTTTCAGAATACGAGAAATCAAAGCCAGGAAAAAAATCATTTTCTGTATAGAAAATATATAAAAGAAACAAGCAATCATTGCCACTATGATAATAAGCTTCTCAATTTATTATGTGGACACTCCGCCAGAGCTCCTATGGTGCAGGATAGTAAGAAGCATGACTCATTCGAGCATTATTCCAAGAAAAATTAGATGGCATAGCTTCCAAAACAGGATGAGAACGTGTAAGTTAGCAAAAAAACAAGGAAATACATCGAGTAGATGTACGTATTAGACTTCGATAAGGCTGGTTCAGACCTACTCCTATCTATCTCAGGAATTACTATTTCCTCTGTAACTTAGAAAGCTCTATTGCCATGACACCTAGAACCTTCATATTTTAATTAAGTTATCAAAATTTGCACTTCCGTATCGATGTAATAAAATAACCTTTGTATAAAATTTTTGCACTTAATATAAATGAAGTATACACCATGTTTGATAAAACTTTGAATAGGATCCACGACTTTAATCAACTTTTCAATCACATATTTCATCATTTTTTATCAAAATCTACTAAATTTTTTATAAAAAGCTTTGTCACACAAGCCCATAATATCTTTCATATAAATTCTTTGCATTTTCATAACTGAAAATGAGGTCATAAACAAGAGCACGTGCTGCCATAACTGAGTAGGCACTATCATAACTTATGGTAAGGTCATAAACCAAACAATATGCTGTCATCGGCATAATTAAACTCCTCACTGACCAGGAATCAAGTTGGAAAAACAATAAATGTTTATCAAGTTGGAAAAACAAGAAATGTTTGTTCACATAACCAAAAGTAAAAAGAGATAGAGAGCTTTTATGTGATGAATAGAAAATTAAATTTCACACTCCCATTTAGCTCTTGACTTGAGTAAAGCAAAATGTTCAAATTCAGTTTAAAAGTTTTACGTTCCTCTCCATCACCCAAACATCATGACAAATATCGTTAAACTGATATACATATTATTATGTTCCTATGACATAGCAAAGACTTGGATCTTTAACTGGAAGTGAAAAGGTCCAAAATCCAAAACTCAAAAAGAACTGAACTTGACCCAGTAAACATATTAAGCAACATGGAACCCCCAGTTTGAAGGGAAAATAATACTCCTACAGTACATTTCACAACATCACAACACAGTACCTTGTGCTCATTTAATTCTGCCTTTACTCCGGCATTATCAAATCCCATTTTTAAATCATCAAGATGTAAGATTGAGAGGTGCCCATAATTGTAACATGGTGAAAATTAAAAAGGGTCTGTGTCTATTCCATGATTAACTGGCAAAAGCAATTACTACAAGTACCTTCTGCTCGTAAACTTGTACCTTTATTCCGGCATCATCAATTCCCCATCTTAAATCATCAAGATGTAATATTGACAGAAGCCCCATTATTGTAACATAATGAAAATAAAAAGGTTCTGTATCTATCCCATAACTAACTGCCAAAAAACTAATATAGCGCAAAAACCAGTGAGAAGCAGAATTACCTCCACTGCCAAAGAAAGAAGGTCTGAAACTGAAAGGAGTCGTCTTTACAACAATTACTCCTCGATTGCACGAGGAAGAAGGAGTCGCCGTAGAAGAAGCCATGCTTATCCCTGCAATCGATGCTCTCACTGCCATTACTCTCTTCTTTGTTGAGTCGCGCTTCGCTGCGTGGGGTACTTTTTAAAATGTCTTGGTCAAACAACCAATTTTTCTGTTTGATCATTTTTTTTTTATTCACCAGATTGACTTCTTGTACGATAATTCATGTTTGATAATTACAAATGTATATCAATTTTTTAAAAGACAATAATACCCTTAATAGTTTAAATAAATTCAGTTACTTTCATACGTAAATTTCAAAATCAGTTTTACTTATCAGTTTCTCCAATACAGTAAAAAAGAATTTTTTCCTTCCGTCTGCTAAAATATTGAAATCTCTCAAAATTATCAAAAGTTCAACAAAGAAACAATACTCACAGTCGGCACTGGAAATTGGTAAATGTAAATACATATTTGTAATTTTGTTTTAGTTAAATTTACTGTTTGAATCTTTAAATAATTTTTTTGAGAAAGGCAGATGAATTTTACAGTATTTAAACACAGATTTATAATTTTTTTTATAGCAAAAACAACAAAAAATCATCTCTATATGCATATATTTTACAGGAAAAATTTATAGGTGTTTGTAAATTAAATATTTAAACATTATTTCGTTGAAAATGGAAAAATAAAAAATTCGAGCGTAAATTTCAGATAAAACGGACGAAAAAAGTTGGGCCAAATGTTTCCAGCCGGCCCAGTTGTCTGGGCCGCTGGAAACATCCGGCCCAGCCGATTTTTATTTTTTTTCTCCCTCCCCTCCCCTTTCAGATTTTAGAATTTATTTGTTCATTAATATATGTTTACTGAAATAAATATTAATGAATATTTAAATACTAATTGAAATAAATATTTTTGAAACAATTAAAATAATCAATGAATTATTTAAAGTATTAAATTAAATTAAATATGAAATGAACAATTTAAAAAATTATATATTAATTCCTTATTTTTAATTTGTGGCAGATATGACATCAGCATGTGTCTCAATTTGTTACTTTGGTGAATTTCAAATAAATAAAAATGTTCAGTGGGAATGGAAATGGACGAGTGAAGGAGATGGGGTTAAAGCAATTTTTATAACAAGGAGTACATCGTTCGCAGAAATGTACAGCGATATACAAAACATGCTTAACGTCGATCCCTTTCAGTACGATATGGAATTGGGATTTTTGTTTCATAAGCATTCAACCATTTCAATTCCACCTATGAAAGTTACTTCTGAAGTGGAAATGAAACATCTAATTAAATTGAACCAAGGCCGGAAGTCGACTCCTATTTGCGTAACTTTATTGGGGAAGAATGTTCACGAGGGTGAACACGAAGTTTCAAATGAAGAGAATCGTAATGTAAATGATGTTTGGGATATAATTAGATTGTTCCAAGATGATGTGGTGATTCCCGAGACCACTGCTATTCACCATGGTCACACTGTTATGCACAGAATTCCATCGATAGTTGAAAACAACGAGAATGATAATGCATTTACAAACGAGAATTTGATTGCTTTATCTCGTAGGAGACATGAGTCTGGTGGGAGCTCACAGGCCGGACCGAGTACACGGTCCTCTAATTGTTCGCTTGTAGTTCCCGATGATGAAGATGTATATGTCGAGCAACTATTCGAATCAAAGAAAGAATTGCAAGAAGCTGTGCACCGAATTGCTTTAAAATATAACTTCGAGTTTAAAGTGAAGAAATCAAACAAGTCGTTATACACAATTATCTGCGTTGACGATAGTTGCCATTGGCGTTTGCGAGCGACTAAGATGGACACGAATGAGTTCTTTGTAGTCCGTAAGTATGCACGGGAACATACTTGCGAAGTGGGTATTCGTCGAAACGATCATAGGCAGGCCCGATCATGGTTCATTGGTCGAGAAATAATGCACAAATTTCAGGATTTACTAACGATCTACAGACCTTCGGACATCATTAATGATGTTCGACGAGAGTACAGGGTGGTTATGAGCTATCAGAAGGTTTGGAAGGCTAAAGAATGTGCATTGAAAGATTTGATGGGTTCGGCTGAGGAGAGTTATGCTAAATTAGCCAGGTATTTCATTGTTTAAGTATTTATTTCTTTGTTATTTTAAATTTTAATTGTTTATTTATATGTAATTAATTATTTAATTGAATTGTTTATTTTTTTGTTCATTTAATATTTAATATATTATCTAAATTATGATTATTTTTATTTACATTGGCCAGGTATTGCTATAACATAGGAAGAATTAATACTGGGTCGGCATTTTTTATTGAGAAGGATGACGAAAATCGCTTCAGATATTTCTTTATGGCCCTTGGACAATGTGTTCGAGGATTTCGAAATGCAATGCGACCCCTAATCTTAGTCGACGGTACAATCCTTAAGGCGAGATACGGGGGCAAGTTGATTATTGCAACATGTCAAGATGCGAACATCCAAATTTACCCTCTTGCGTTCGGCATAGTCGACGGAGAAAATGATATAGCAATGAGTTGGTTTTTCACGAAGTTGAGAGAAGTAATTGGAGATGTCGAAAATCTTGCATTCGTAACCGATCGAGGGCAGTCAATAATAAATGGTATCGCCGAAGTCTTCCCCGAGGCACATCATGGTTATTGTATGTACCATATATAGGGAAACTTGAAGACCAGGTATTGAGGCAATGGCGTCGTTGTGTTGTTTAGGAGAGCTGCAGAGGCTTACAGTTTTGAAGAGTTTGATAAGTTCATGGTCGAAATAGACAGTAAATCGCATGCTGCATGAGAGTATCTAACAGAGATGGGGATTGAACATTGGGCACGATCACATTTTCCAGGACGTCGATACAACATGATGACGTCAAACAATGTGGAGTCGCTTAACGCTTTATTCAAGAAAGATCGAGAGTTACCAATTCTCGCAATGATTGAGAACATTCGTGACAAGTTATAACAGTGGTTTCATGATCGACGTGAGGAATCACAGAGTTGTGCAAATGTGCTAATCCCGGCTCAAGAAGATAAGCTCTTCAAGACTCTAGATGTGGCAAGAAAGGTATATGTAGAACCACTAGATCAATTTCGCTTCTCCGTGAGATGTGCACGTAATTTCGGATACATTGTGGACTTGAATGATAACACGTGCACGTGTAGACGGTTTCAGTTGGAGAGTTTTCCGTGTACACATGCAGTGGCAGTGGCTATGCATAGAGGATTACCACCACACACCTTATGCAGTGTGTATTACATGACTGATTATTGGAGAGCAGCATATGCGGAAACAATATTTCCTGTACCAAATGAAGTCGAGTGGGAAGTGCCCGACCACATTCTCCTACTGAATAACTTGTTGCCACCAGCAGTTGGACCACGTACTCCTGGACGTACACGTACGTCTAGAATACCATCTACCGGAGAGTTTCCCCAGCCTCGTAAGTGCGGTAGGTGCGGTGCAATAGGGCATACTAGAAGACATTGTATAAGTCAGATTCCTCTACATGACAATGTAACGGATATGTAATTTTAATAACTATTGACAATGTAATTATTTATAACATTGACGTTAATTATTTATGCATATTATTTATATGAATTATTAGATTTAATATTTTTTTCAAACAGTTCATTCATTACATTCATTTGTTATGCATATTATTTATGTTAATTATTTGAAATCGAATCTTTTTCTAGACACTGCATTATACGGTAGGCTGCATTGTAAAATAAATATTTAAATATTACATAAATAATCAACATTTTACAATTTTTTTCGTAATTACAAATAAATGAATGAACTGTACAATGTTTAAATAAATGTAAAAATATGTACAATTATTTATGGATCCCCATTAAATTCAAATAAATCACATGCTAGTTTATTTCTCCAATTTTGTATCCATGCCTGGTTGATTATATCAACCTTATGTGCCACACTCAAAAATTCTATGTACTTGATGACGAACATGCCGCAATCACCCCTACAATTAAACAATGTTGTATTAACACATCGAAAATTAGTTAGAAACTAAGATGTACATGACAGAAAGAAAATTACAAATACTTACGATATTTGTTGCCTCGTCTTCGTCGTGTTCCGCACGGTGGCCAATCTGTCTTGTACAATGATGTTCGCTCGTCTAGTCATCATGAGAACGATCACAGACACCGACTCTAGATTTTGCTCGAGCTGGCCTTGTGTCAAGCATGAATGATCGAGGTCGTACACATACATCGTGGAGTCGACGAATACGATTTCCACTGCAATGTAGTGATGATTCACACATACTGGTACTTACATATGCGTACAGCCATCCCATGGCTTCCCACCGACACTCGGCCACATCCCTACGACCCATTCCATCATATATTCCGGCACGTGTACTCGCAACCCATAGCCTGGAACGACTGGTACTCAATGTCAACAGTATGGATGAACTCGGTGTTCAATATGAGTCTGCCAGGAATGTTGAACGATTTTGGATGTTTTTCAGCACGATCTCGTAGCAAATCCATGCTCAAGTCGATGTGCTACATCAAGAAACACCAATAAAGAAAGGAGTTAATCTATGAATTTCATTAAAAAAATTGATTTTGAATATACATAATAAATAACAATATTTTCATTTCACTTACATCGTCGGCGAGCCAAGCCCCCGAAGTGGTGATATCGTCCAGCAAATCCAATACCAAAGCGAAGCTGGTAAAGTTACAATTCAATGTAACTTTACCAGGGATCTGTCTGACAGCGTCGTCCAGATGATATTTCATCATGCAAAATTTCAAATATTAGAACCTTATGCAAATGATGTTCGATAAACAAAAATATGAAAAATATATACTAACACACTGCTACTAGATATAATAACCAACCGATAACGGAATAAACAAAATGAACGTAAATTACTATTTTCCATATACTTAATTTGCTAATTTGATCGTTTATTTTAATATTTTAATTGCTAATTTTAATTATTTATCTAACACTAAATTAACTTTTTCATTTTTAATTAATGTTTAAACACTTATTTTAATTCTTTACGCATATATCTTATTTCATATTTACAAATTTCTTTTAATTGCTTCGTAAAAAATTAATGTAATTGACATTTTCATATCCTAATTTAATTGTTTATTTTTATTATTTGACAGATGTTTATATATTTTTTTAAATTCTTTATGCATATTACTTATTTAACATGTAATTAATTATTTTAATAACACTTATTTTGATCGTTTATTTTAATATTTTAATTATTTTTCTAACACTTAATTTACTTTTTCATTTTTAATGAATGTTTAAATGCTTATTTTAATTATTTACGCATAATGCTTATTTCATATTTACAAGTTTATTTTAATTGCTTTGCAAAAAAATAATTTGATTGATATTTTAATTTTCAAATTTAATTGCGTATTCCTTTTTCTTTTTTTTTTTTACAAATGTTTAAATATGTATATAAATTATATATATATGTTATTTAATATTTAATTATTTCTTTAATTATTTTACTATCACTTATTTTGATATTTTAATTGCTTATTTTAATTTTTTTTCTAACAGTTAATTTAGTTATTTATTTTTAATGAAATTTTAAAACTTATTTTAATTATTTACAAATGTTTAATTATGTATTTAAATTCTTTATATATATCTTATTTAATATTTCCTTTTTTAAAATTAATTTAGTAACACTTATTTTTAGATGCTTATTTTAATATTTTAATTATTTTTCTAACACTTAATTTAGTTTTTTAATTTTAATGAATGTTTAAGTACTAATTATAATTCTTTACGCATAATGCTTATTTCATATTTACAAATTTATTATAATTGCTCTGCAAAAAAATAATTTGATTGATATTTTAATTTTCAAATTTAATTGCGTATTCCTTTTTTTTTTTTTTTTACAAATGTTTAAATGTGTATTTAAATTATATATATATGTTATTTAATATTTAATTATTTCTTTAATTATTTTACTATCACTTATTTTGATATTTTAATTGCTTATTTTAATTTTTTTTCTAACAGTTAATTTAGTTATTTATTTTTAATGAAGTTTTAAAACTTATTTTAATTATTTACAAATGTTTAATTATGTATTTAAATTCTTTATATATATCTTATTTAATATTTCATTTTTTAAAATTAATTTAGTAACACTTATTTTTAAATGCTTATTTTAATATTTTAATTATTTTTCTAACACTTAATTTAGTTTTTTAATTTTAATGAATGTTTAAATACTAATTTTAATTCTTTACGCATAATGCTTATTTCATATTTACAAATTTATTTTAATTGCTTTTCAAAAAATTAATTTTTTTGCTAATTTAATTTTCAAATTTAATTGCTTATTTTTATTATTTTACAAATGTTTAAATATTTCTTTAAATTCTTTAGATATATTAATTATTTAATATTATATTATTTCTTTTAATTTTTTTACTATTACTTAATATAAAATAATAATTAATCTATATTAGCAACTAATAAATATTTCGATAAATAATATAACATTTACATCTTATATTTACTAATAATTTTAAATACATAATATAAATTCAAATTAAGCAATTCAAATAAATAATTACATATTAGAGAACACAATATAAGCCATTAATAATTATTTAATTAACTTCAATAATTACCCAAAAAAACTGCCTAAAATAACGCCCGCCCCAGTCAACTGGGTCAACCGGGCCGACCAACCCAGCTGCCCAGCTGACTGGACTAAACCCAGCTGGGCACCAAGCGCCTAGTCAACTGGGCAACCCAGTTGACTGGGACAGACGCCCAGACGGCGTCCCAGGTCTCTGGGGTGATTTCCAGCCGAGGAGATCGCTGGAAAACTCCATTTCCGGTGATCTCCACTCCTTCCCAAGTAATAACAACCCAAATTCCACATTTACACAACGATTTCTCAACAAATATATATAAAATCATACTTTATTCCAAAAATAAAAATATAAACATGATTTTTTTTTGTATAAATTTCTTACCTTCTTCAGAGTCAACTGGGTCTCCTGTTTTTCCTTATTTGTCGGTGGCTGGGTCGACTGTACTACAGTACTTTCCTTCTCGACTTCTGCGTTTTTTCCTTGCCCAGTGAGAGGTAAAATTGGGTCTGTCTTCCTTTTTTTTGGTTTTAACTGTTTTAAATAATTTTGCCTTTTTTTTTCACTGGTCAAAGGCCATTTTGGAAAATTGACCGGGTCAACCGGCTGTTGGTCACTAATTCCTCCCGCTGCGTCTATGTTTCAAGTTTCAATTTTTATTTTTATTTTTTTTTTTTTTTCCTTCTTTGTTTGTTTGTGATTTGTAGTTTGGGACGATTATACTATTTTCTTCTTCTATTGTAGTTTGAACCACTTAGAAAAAAATACATTATTCATGTCAAATTAATAAAAAATATGGTTAAAAAATTTAAAAAATATATTTTAAATTTACGTGTAATATTATTTTATTAAAAAATGTGTGATTGAAATGTGATCAACTTGAAAAATATATTTTTTTTTTGAAAACAATCTGGCTTATTTATTTCCATTTGGAAGGTTTATTTTTAGATTTTTTGGAAGTATAATTGTGCCTCTGTTTAGGCCCCATTATGACGAAATTACAAAGATTAAGAGCTTTAATAATCTCATTTCATAAATCAGATTTAGTATCAATTTTACTATTTCAAATATCAGGAGCATGTTTGGGAGTGATTTTGAGAATTAATTTTTTTACCGTTAGGAGAAAAGTGGGGTCCACCTGTGAGAAAAGAAATCAAATATGACGGCTGAAATAGTGAAATAAAGATCAAAAAATTAATTTTTTTGATGAAAAAATTGGGCCCAAACAGGCTCCAGATCTTTTATTAATTAATACATATAAAACTTAAATCAATTAGTTACTGTCCAATCCCTAAATCAATTTCTTCCTATTTTCTTCTCTCCACTCTCTCTCTCTCTCTCTAAACTGTAATTCTCTCACAGGCATCGATCGTTGTCTCTTTTCACTACCCTCTCTCGCTGTACTCTGCTCATCTCTACCAACACTGGCACCGGAGCCGCGGAATCCTCATAGTGTCATCTGAGAGCCACTCGCCTCGCCGTGACTGCTGCGAAATCGTCATGGATCTGAGCATCAGAGTCAACACTCACATCGGCCGATCTGGTGGCGTTGTAAGCATTGTTCACAGAGGTGCAGGCGCCGCTCGTCGTTGAGATTTGTTGTTCTGAAACTGATGTTTGTGTATGGTAGTAGATGGCTGTTATCTGTGGTGGATGGAAATCGTTGACTGTGCGGATGGTGGCGATACGGATTGTGAATTCAACGTGAAGGGGACGACACTACTGGGTAGGTAGTAGGTGTACTGGTAGTGTGTAGCACGTGGATGGCGCCGGTTTGTTGTATGATTTGGAGTTGAGATTTTCTGGTTAGTGGGTTATGGGTATTGGCCAGTGATTTAGGACGGTTGATTTGCATTGTAGTGGGGTTTATCGAGGTGGTGGTGGATCTGGCAAGATGATTGTGGCTGTGTTTTTCTGTGATGTGTTGATTTGTTTGAAGTGGTGGTGGTTCTGGGAGTGACGATGGCGATGGTGCTGTTGGAGAAAGTAGCGTGTGGTAGTCACTTGTGGGGGTCACAACTTATTTGGTTGATGTGGTGTATGGTGGTTTTGCAGTTTAGTTAGATGGCGGTGGTTGAGGGTGGTGGTCATGGTTGTGGGGATAGATGGGATGGGACGTGGGGGTATTTGTAACCAATTATTTGGTTGATTGTGACCAATAAATGGGTTAATTTGTGTCAAAAAAATATGTGACCTAAAAAACGTAATTGTGACTCATAATTTATTAATTTGTGATAGTAACATTACTCGAGATCAATTATTTTGTTAATTTGTGATCGACAAATTAGTTGTGACCAATAAAAATTTAGACCTTGTGACCAATAAATAAATTGTAACTCATGAAATTTTTGATTTGTGACTGACAAATGAGTTGTGACCAATAAAGGTTTCGATTTTGTGACCAATCAATGAATTGTGACTTATGAAATTATTTATTTGTGATCGACAAATGAGTTGTGACCGATAAAAATTTTGATTTTTGTGACCGATCAATGAATTGCGACCTGTGGAATTTTTTATTTGTGACCGATTAATAAATTGTGACCTACAAATTTTTTTATTTGTGACCTATAGAGTTTTCAATTTGTGACTTAGGAATAATTTGTAACCAATTAATTTGATAAGTTGTGACCAAATTATATAGATATGTGACATCAATATATTTAATTATAAAATATTTTTTTATTAATTATTTCAAAAATAAAATTCAATAGATATCAGATTTTTGAAATTTAAAACATTTTATCTTATTTTTGAAATAGGGTATAGTTATACTCTTAGTTTTGAATTCTTCCCCTCCATTATTCCAGATTTTAGCCTCGTTTGGCCCAATTAAAGGCCTGTTTGAGCCACATTATTTCAAATAAATACATTCTTAAATAGTGATTTGATATTATTTTAACCACACATTTTTCAATAAAATAATATTACACGTAAATTAAAAACTTTTCCTTATTTTTTAACCACACATTTCTCATCAATACACTATTCAAGAATGCATTATTACCTTCTCATCAATACATTATTCAAGAATGCATTATTACCAAAATAATGTGGCTCAAACACCCCCTAAATTTCGTTGCATTACATTTCATTTTTCTCTCTCGTATTTTAAACCACACAATCTTTCATTAAATAATATTACACATAAATTAAAAAAATTTCATTTTTTTTCAATCACTTATTTTTCAAAAAAAAAAAGAAATACTATTTCACACATTTTCATTTCTAGAAAATGGGGGCCAAACGGCGGCTTAATGAGGAGAATAGTAATTTTTTGAAGAATATAAGGTTTTAAAAAAGGAAAAAAATTTAGATTTATATGTAATATTATTTTATTGAAAAATGTGTGCTGGACAAGAAGAGAGAGAAATATAAATTTTAATTTAATGTGGACCAAACACGAGCTATGTAAATACTAGGGTCCGTTTGATTGCAAAGATGAAATTGAATTTAATTGAAAACGAATTCCAAGGAATTGAATTGCCTAGAAATTATTTTCCTGTGAATTGTAAATTATTGTGTTTGATTGGTATAATTTTCCATGTGGAAAATGTTAAAATAAAAGTATTTTTTAGTGTTCGTTTAGTTTTGTTTTACATGAAAATTGTCAATTAAAGGGAAATATTTTTTTACAATAATTCCTAAAATTAATTTTCATTGCAAAAAAAAAAACGGAAAAAAATAAAATACTACAATATACTAGAATTTGAATTCCTTGCAAACAAGGAAAAGTACAATTTCCATGAAATTTAAGAAATTCAATTACATGGTAAATATAAGTTATCAAACACCTTTTTTGTAAAAGTTGGAATCCAAATTCTATTTTCTAGGGAAAATTTTGTTGAATCAAACAGTGCCTAAGTAAAGAAAAAAACTATCACTAAACTAAAATATGTGAACGAGACTTGATCAAATAATTAAGCCTTCATTTGATAATTTTATAAATGATTTATAAAGAAGAATAGTAGTTAATATCCAATATATTAAAAGTGGAGATGGTGGAGAAACTTTTAAATACCAAATTTACCCCGACATATTTAATCATATGCCCACTATACCCTCATAATTTGAATACTAATTTAAGGAAAATTCTACTTGTACATACTTATTGCACATAATATTGTCTATAATATGATATAGCAACCATCCAATTGTTGATATATCAGTGTGAGATTTGAATTAAAGGTTGGATCCAGTGTCACGTGTAATTATGGATATCATTATGTTGACAATGTACATGTAGTATTTCCCCCAATTTAATTCGTATTTATCATTTGGTTTAGAATTGATATAATATAAAGAGTGAATATATAATTGATATTTATCATTTTGGTTTGGAATTAATATAAGGAGTGAAACTAACATTCAATTATATCAAAGGAAAAAATCAATGACTTATTATTCAATTGACTATTTTATTTTCTACCAACAAATCAATTTTTATTTTTATCAGCAAAATCCTTATTAATTTTTGTGATTTACATTATAATTCATGCAATGAGTTCGTATTTTTCATCCACGGAGCAATTTTTAATCTTCATACTTTACATTATAATTTATATATTAAGTTATTATTTAATTAAGGTTACAAATATTTTAAATGTTGCATTAATATATTAATGTATGAGGACATTCAATGAATAAAAAAGAAATTACACGCGGAAGTTCAATGACTAACATTCAATTGATTTTTTTCTTTACAATTATTAATTTTTATCAACAAGGCCCTTATTACCAATTTAATTAATATTTATCATTTTATTTAGAATAATATAAGTGATGAAATATTTAATTGATATTTATATTTGAGTTGGAATTAATATAAGGAGTGAAACTGACATTCAATTACTAAAAAAATAAATTGAAATTTAGCGACTTATCATTCAATTGAGTATTTTGTTCTTACAATTTTTATATTCTATCAACAAAGTAATTTTTTTTTTATTTTTAATCAACAAAACCCTTATTGATCTTTTTGATTTACATTATAATTCATTCATTGAGTTTTTATTTTTCATTAACAAAGCAATTTTTATTTTTCATCAACAAAACTCTTATTAATCTTCATGATTTACATTATAATCTATCCATTAGGTTATTATTTAATTGAGGTTACAAATTTGAAAGGTTGCATTAATATATTAATGAGGTAACAAATGTGCTAAATGTTACATTAATATATTAATTGGGATATTCGATCACTAAAAAAAGTATTGTGTACAAGAAGTATTATTGTGATCATATCATTACATTTTAATTTATTCAACATTTTCACATTATACACATAATTTCATAAAATAAAAAAATACACACACACTCAATTATAATTTTCCCTTTAACAATACCAATTACCTCTATTATTTTTAAAAAAATGGTATTAGTAATTCAAAAATAGTACGTATATCATTAATCAATACATAAAACGTGCAACACACGTGTTTATTACTAGTCTCACAAAATATGTGAAAAATAATTAATAGTTACGAATGTGTAATCGAAGATAGTGTTTAACTTGATTGAATTTATAGTTATTTATAAATGTGCATATCCAAACGAAAGCTATGATTAAACTAAAACATTGCCACAACCGTTAAAAAGGGCATATACTTAGGGCTTGTTTGATAAGCACTTCCATGGAATTTGTTTTCCAACTTTCACTTTT